GAAATAATGCTGGACTCAACTCAATATTTCTCCCTCCCATTTATTTTTCAAAATGAGAGAAAGTCTTTTGGGAAGCGAATTATAACGTATCATAAAACACTTTGTTTATTAATTTCCACCTAAACTATTGCGATTAATATTTTTATCAGGTAAAAAAATTCTAGAATTTATCTTGAACGTTAAAAAGTCACTTGCAGAAAATTTCCACTGGAAATTTATGACAACGTACGATTTGAAATGAGTTCATGAGATTAAATGATAATTATGGATACAAACCTTGATGATGAAACTTGCAGATGTAGTTTTAGCGTTTGGGCTCTGGGCGCCCCAGCCATGCCCATGAGTACTAAAGTACCCACCCAACTTTGGTTTAATGTGACGATTGTGCATCTCCATATGCACAATTTTCATAAACTCAATTTGTGCGGCCAATTTCTGGATTTCTTCCTTGAGTTCCTCATTCTCCTGGTAAAGATCGGTTGTTTCTTCAGCGACTAATCCTCGAATTCCATTGAGAGAGAAACTTGCGGTAATCCCTCGGGCACGTGCTCGACTATCCCATTGATCCCCTTGGCCTCGAAGTACTCGTAATACCTGAAATGCCAGTTGAACTGTTTTTTTTTCTCTCGAGATAATCCCACGGCTAAGTGGCGGGCCTAGGCAAATTGACTCCACAATGAGTCAAATTGGGAGATGAAATAAATAATTCTCATGCACCCAAATATCACGAACACTGGGGTTTTTCAAATAATTCTGCAAGTGCCCTCCAAAATTACAGAGTGCAATTTATTATAACAATCACAAAACGCTCGAATAATTACGTGTTTTAATTGAGTTTGAATTTGCACAGCTCTTCTGGATGAATGAATATGATTATTTTGTGAGAGTGAATGCCCACCAGCAAATACTTATAAAAATAAAATAAAACAATATTATAAATAATAAAATAATTACCTTGGGACCAAAGACGAGAAATATTGTAACCGAAGTTGACAACTGAGTGCGAAGAAAGCCAAGGGCATACTTCATATCTGGACCCGCATGAGGGAAGATGAAGAGACTATAAAAATGTTAATACATCTCCAATGGCTATTTTTAGAAATTCATTACAATAAAAAATCATAGACTCACTGGATAGCAATCATTGTGGTATTCACAACGGCGATGTTGTAAATAGCGTAACTGATGAGTCGAGCCTCGTTGAAGAGGCTCTCAGCATTCCGGACGTTGTAGCAAACCCGAATGCCCCAGGCAAGAAAGAGAATTTCGCCTGGAACATTTTCCTCGTTTAAATCCCACTAATCTACAGAAAAATACGTTGAAATCATTTGTCATCTGAGTTACAAATTACCAATTGCTAAACTATGATCCCACCAGTTGTATTCACATTGATAAAACTCTAAACCCTGACCGTCTGCGATGACTTTGGCATCAGGAGGCGCACTGAGGGTCCAAGTGCCTAGATAAATCAGCATCACCAGGAGAACCGGTACCATCCACTGCAGGAGCTGTTTGTCAGTGAGTTTGACTTTGTGTGCACTCTTAACGCGATACGTCAGTGATACTCTGCGAACAGGGTGAACGCTCTAAATTTTATTCAATAATATTAATAATAATAATTACCCCTCAAAATATTATAATGTAATTACATTACTCCGC